ATACCGCTCGGTATACAGTTTCGTACCGTACCGAGCGAACGTCGAAAATCTGGTACGATACGAAATTGCATACCTTGCTCCTAAACATTATTTTTCTTTTTCTCTCCTTGAAAAAATTCATCCTTTGCAGATATACTCATGCATAAACAATAATCCTGACGTTACCCTTTGTGGTACAAATCCGGTCCCCTAAGTGCTAGATGAAATGTAAGTCATATTTATTACATTTTGGCTGGTTTTTTCTTGAATTCTTTCCTCAGTAATCTTCAACATATAAACAATATCCTGGTTCACTTGTTCATCACTAGGATTTGTTTTAGTGTAGCACTAGACTCCTGGTTGACATAGTGGCTTGATATGTTGGCAATCTGATAGACAATGAGTAATGGGAACATTAGAATGAGGATATATGAATAATCATGAGTGAATATTTTTCAGAAATTATGAAGTCCAGATATTATATTTTGACATAGATGTTAGTCATGCAATTATATAATTTAAAATTTGACTCATTTCCTTTTTCATTTTGTTCTCCACAGATTAAAGACTTGCATGTTGCCAAAAGAGAAGAAGATATTGGGTTTTATGCAGGGTTTGTTGGTGAGTGTATTATAATTAGCACAAGAAAATTGCTAATGTGTTTCAATTAATTGTTTACTATGTATTATCAGTAAGCTTCTACTTTGCACCTTACTAGATGTCATTGACATTTTTTTCCTCTGGATTAAAGGAGCTTCATTTATGGTTGGAAGAGCTTTAACTTCCCTATTGTGGGGAATGGTTGCTGACCGATATGGAAGGAAACCTGTTATAGTGCTTAGCATCATCTCTGTGTTAGTAGCACTCAATGATTTTTTTGTCGGTCACTTTCAACTAGGAAATCTTGTGGAGGCTTTTTTTTCTGTTATTCTCTTCTGTGTTCTCTTTACTGTTTAATGTTGCTAATTCAGGATCATTTTCAACACTCTGTTTGGGCTGAGTACAAGTTACTGGATGACAATTACAACAAGATTACTACTTGGATTGCTAAATGGTTTAAGTGGTCCAATAAAGGCATGTAAAGAGTAGATGCATCATTGATTTTGTTTCCTTGAATATAGTGGCATAATTGAATTATGTGCACTTTTGAGATTACAGAATGCACCTGACTTTCTCTGCAGGCTTACTCTATAGAAGTTTGTAGGGAAGAATATCAAGCTCTTGGAGCAACACTAGTAATATCTCTTCATTCAATTATTGTTTTAGCAAGGTTATCCAGTCATGTATGATTCAGAAAGTTATTTGTGGCTGTTACTTATTTCAGGTATCCACAGCATGGGGTATAGGTTTGATAGTTGGCCCAGCTATTGGGGGCTACTTTGCTCAGGTGATTCCTCTACAAAATTATTGTAAATACATCCATGCTCGTGTCATTAGACTGGCTACATGTTTTTGTCCTCTGTTGCTTGGTCATTTCATTTTCAGATTTAGCATAGAACATTTTTTTCTCTATGTAATAGCTGACTTTAAATAAAATTCATGTATGTCTACTAACTGGAGTCATTAGTTGTAGGGAGCAAGGATTGCATTTCCTCCTAAAAATGATAATTAGAACATGGAACATAAATTCTGGATTAGATGCTAATCACAGGGAATTTTACATGGTTTGGAATCCTTCGGGTTGCCATAAAAATAATTCTATGATTAGATCTGAAAAGAGGAAAAATTTATCTTAAGCAAGAAAGACTGAATATGTGGGAGGGCAGGGGGGCATCTGTCATTTTTGGGTTTACCATTTATTTAAATGATTGATGTGAATAATTAAATATTTTCTTTGATGAAATGTACTTGTAACTTGTAAAAATGAGAAATGTTTTTTCTAGCAAAGCAACATTAAAGATCTATGATGTAGGACCATTTTAATGTATTATTTAGGAGGCATTGTACAAATATCCTAAGCTGCAACATAGCAATATCTTCAATATATTTATTTCAGTTTCCTAGATTGCCCATGGAGAAACAAAAAATGAAACCAACAAAGAAAATGATTGTAGAAATAAAAGTATAATTGATTGAACTTTCATTACAGTAACTAAGTTCCATCATCCTCCAAAAGGTTCATTTTCTAAATCATATCTGAAAATTTGTCTTCTTTAGAGAATGAAAGAGTAAGTTTATTTGATTTGATGTAATTATAATCTTTTCTTATTTTTATTTTTTTTCTTTTATACTTATGATTTTTAAAAATTTATTATGAAGATATAAATGAATCAGCAAATGAATATATATATATATATATATATATATATATATATACACACACATTATGGCTTCATTATAATATATTATGATATAAGTGGTATGAGGCCATGTCTTTTCCAATATTATGATTTCATTTTTCATGTTTGAGATGTACAAATGTGTGAGCTTCCATTCTTAAGTTCCTCCTTGAGTTGAAGTGAGTATGATATTTATCATTTACTAACAACTATGAAATCCTAGATAAAATTATTTTCTTGATACCAAGTATACATCTTATTCAACATTTTTAGTATATCAGATTTGTTATCAGTGTCTTTATAAGATCAAATATTAAAGATTTTAATTTAGCTAAGATAGAAAGCGTAATGATTTAGATACTATTAGATGCATTAAACATGAAGATATACTTGTTAATAATAATGAAATTTAAAAAAAATAAAAAAAATATTTTTATAAATTATTTAATGAATATTCTATAAATGTCTTAGCTTAACGATAGATACTAGTATAGATTTAATAATCCTAGATTTGTTCATAAAATTAGAGTTAGTGAAGTAAAAGCAGTGTACTCAATTTTGATGTGTACCACTCGGTACGGGCAGTATGTGTCGGTTCGAGAGGATACCGGTACGTACACCACCCTCTACCAAGTGGTACCAGTGTTTTGACCAGTACCAAGGCATACCAACCAATACTGGTAACACCCCAAATTTCGATCATTATCGAGGCGTACCAGTCGGTACGCCCTAACGTAGTAGGTGGAAGCATTTTTAAGGTTTTAGGGTGCACCATCGGTACATCTTGGCGTGTCGACGGTACATACCGGTACGTCGATACGGATTGATATTCAAAACCCTAAGTAAAAGATGCCTTTAAGAAGATAAAAATAACTAAGAGTGTGAGATTTTATATCTTAAGAAAATCTAGGAGGCTAGGGAATAGATTAATTAAATAGTTTATTTAAGAAAATCTTAAGATTCAGAAAGATATTTGATGAGTACAAAAAGAGTAAGATACCTAATGAATAGAAGAAGAGTTTTTTAGTGTCAATTTATAAGAACAAGGATGATATAAAATAATATCCTACTTATAGACGAATTAATATTATGAGTTATCAAAAGTAGGATAAGACTTGAAACCAGGGTCTGTCATACCGAATCGTACCGCCCGGTACAGGCGGTACGTATCGATCCGACAGGCCAGTGGTACGCGGACCGCCCGGTACCGGTTCGCACTGTAGCAGTGCACTGTAGCACTACTACGGTGCACCAGTACACTGTTGCAGTGCACTGTAGCACTACTACAGTGCTCGGTACACTGTACCGTATCGGTACCGAGCCCAGGTCGAAATACCGGTATAGTACGGTATTGCGAACCTTGCTTGAAACAAATATCTCTTAAGATCATTCAGTATTATGCTTGGAAGATCAATGATAAAAACCATTTATTTATTAAGAAATAGAAAAGAAAATTATATATTATTTTTATTAATTTAGAGAAAATAATAGTTTCTAGAGATTTATTATAGTATATTTTAGAAAAGAAAGGTGTATATATATAAATATATATATATATATATATATATATATAGGGAGTGTATATAGTGAATTTCATATATAATTACATCAAAGATGCGTATAAAATCTTTTAGGTAAAAATTTAGGCATCTTATATAAATTACTCAACAAAATAGAGAGTTTGATGAGATTGATTAAGATATTATTTATAGAATAAAAATAGAATGATTAAAATGATGAAGGGATAAGGAGTCTTTTGTGAACATCAGGTACCTTCGAGATTAAAAAAATTATAAGATAATTGTCAGAATAATAATGCTTCATGGATTTGAGTATTGGATAATTAAAAACAATAATACTTTATTAATGAGATGAGAATATTAAGATGGATGTGTGAAGTTAATAAGAGAAAAAAAAAAAAAAAATTTATTCATGAACAATTAGTTATCGTTTCGATAGACAATAAAATGAGAGAAAATCATTTAGTATTGTATGAACATGTAACAATATGTGTTGAAGAGATCTACAAATACATATTTAGAAGAGGTGAAATAATTACTATTAGTATTAATGTGATATGAGGAGAGATATAAGAAGACCTAAAAAAGATTTTAGTAGAGACTATAAAGAAAAATTTAAATACTTTTAACTTAACTAAACATATAACTTAACAAAAGATCTATGTAATAGATCTCATAAAATACTTGGGGCTTACGATTTTTTTATTATTGTAGATTTTAATTTAGCTTAGATGATCTCTCATCTAGGCCAGTCAAAGTTTCAATTATATAAATTTGGAATGAGATCCTACAAGCAAAAGCATATGATGCGAGAGCATTTTAATATATAGTCGAATAAATCTTATTGGTTTAGGAAAAACTTTGGTTATGTCAAAATTGTCAAATGATAATATCTTTCAAAATTCTACTTTATTTACCAATCTTGTGCAAAGAGAAAGAAAACAAAAGACAACTAAAATAAGACAAGTCTTAGGTTGACTGAAGATTTAAAGAAAATGAAAGGACTCTGGTCTTGCATTTAATCAAAACAGATATAAAAATATATCTTCCCTAAAAAAGGAAAGAGGAAATGATTTATATATTTTGATTTATGAGATGTAATTTTGTTAGAATATTTTTCCTTATTTTTATTTTCTTTTATTTGATTGAAAATTTTGAAAAAAATTAAGACTTAAATCTCACATTTGATTGAAGATCTTATCCTGATAAAGAAGTTTCTTCTTGATAGAATAATTTACAAAGAGGAATCCTATCAATTATATATTTTGTCATTAACAAAAATTGTCTGGTTAAACAAATATGGAAGTCTTCTCTAAAGAAGGAAAGATGAAATGATGGTTATGTTTGATTTATGGAATATAATTTTCTTTATTGTATTTGCTTTGTTTTTTAAATATTTTTCTGTACTTGGGGGTCTATGAGAAAGGAAAAATGAATCATAATTTTGACACCAGAGAATGGATGGAATATGGATGAATCGATAAATAAATGAATGAGTTCACTTCCCCCATAATATGTCTGAATGATATGACGATCGCATTTCTTTCTTTCTATGGTATGCATTCATCATAAACATGCAAAACAGGTGTCAGACATTCATCCCTAATGTGGAGTTTCTTCTAAAGCTAAAACAAATATGATATTTATCCCTTTTTCCCTATTATCTTTTACTATTAGATGAAAAGTAATTAAATTTGGTCAAGAAAGGTGAGGTGAAGAACCTTTATGTCGTAATTTGGAACCCTGCCCCTGTAAGCTTGCTTGAACTTGTGCTGGTTAGGATTGGCCTTTATTGTTTTATCAATTTATCAACTTTAAAAAGCTTTGATTTTTTTTGTTAGAGTAATTTTGTAGTATTTATCATTACTTGCTGATTCAATTATTGTGTGTCAGCCTGCAGAAAAATATCCCGAGATATTTTCTCAAGATTCCTTCTTTGCAAGGTACAAGGTGGTTCTCCTCAAGTCAAATATGCTTACCATGTACTTATGTTTAATTATGTTTGTACAATATTTTGTAGGTTTCCTTACTTCTTGCCTTGTATTTGTATATCACTCTTTGCTGTTGGAGTTCTCATAGCTTCTGTATGGCTTCCAGTAAGTTAACCATTTTAATTATTTTGTGTTGTTCTTTTATAGAAAAAGAAATCAATAATCACTGAAAATTTGGTCTTCATCATATATTTGTTCCTTCATCATACTTTGTTAAGTTTAATTTGTCATCACCTCCTACTATGAAATCCATAATAAATCAAGTTCATGTGTTTCCCTATTGGAACACTAATTCATCTATGCTCTTAAATATATTAAATATGTTTTTCTCAAGAAACTACTGCATGGAAATGAGATCTTAAAACTTCAAGGTCTTTGAAATAATTTACTATAATAATACTTTTTGAGTGCGATATGTGATAGTATCATCTATGGCTCATGATCCACATAGATGTTTTGCATTCTTCAACACCAATTGATTAGTTGTCACTTAATTTATTTTATTTAAGAATTTATTTTCACTTATTTTCTCAAGGAGTACATCTGGATCTTTCAAATATTAATTCTATGTCATAAGAATTAAAATAGGACAAGTAATTGTCAAACATGTTCCTAAGTAATTTCCTAATGAGTCAACTATTGTGGTTAACATTGTACACTATCAAAGAGGTCTCAAGTTCAGCTCACTGTGGGTAATTGATCACCCACATTTCTCTCCATGTGTGCGCGTCATACATATGTGAGAGGTTTTCAAGTCTCCTCTTGGGCCAGTGCTCAGGTGTCAAGCATTTGCTACCACTGATGTGAATATCAGGTGGATGAAGTAATGTTTATTCAATCTTTTTATTCTTTTGTTTTGGTCGAATGAAAGTAAACTTATTAATTACTTAAATTAGCATCCAGTTGACCAGCAGTACAGGAAGCAGAAACCTCCAAACATGACAGCATCATTGGTAGCTATACCATATTTTGCTAGTTTATCAGCAGCAATATTCTCTTCTTTACAATCATGGTTGAAGAGACATTTATTATATTTGGTGATGTACTAAATCCACTTACCAAAATCTAAGGATCAAAACTTCATCTGATAAATTATGGAAGTGCTAGCTTGATGAAGACTTTGTTAGATCATAATAAATAGTAGGATCAGAATCCGTTTTCACTATTTACCCTTTGCAAACAAAAAAAATTCTTACCTTCTTCAATCCATGTATAAGCAGCTGAGAGCTTACTATCTTCACTCTTGAGGGCCTGATAAGCATGTGCATGAATCACACCACTGGCAATGACAAGATGGATCGGATTGGGTTGCTTGGGGATTGGGATTGGGAATACAAGCAAGATCGGGCTGAGAAAATAATTTTAAAATTTAAATATGAAATTATAAAAAGCATTGGTGAAGTTATAAAATCTGAGAACAGAAAATTATTATATGGTAAATGTTTTTTTATTTTATAGTTCATAAGATATCTAATTTTTAAAAAATGAAAAAATAAATTATAAAACATAAAAAATATGTAAACAAGAAAGGAGAATTCACAAAAAAATAAGTATGCAATAATATATATATATATATATATATATATATATGTATATATGTTGTCAGATACATATATTAAATAAAATAACTCTTATACAAATTTTATATAAAGATAAAAAACTTTACATTTGCCAAAGATGATCACCGAACCTGTTGTGACCCTAATACCTCTCTAATCACCATGTAAGTGAAGTCAGAGGTAATGCAATTTTTTTTTTTTTGAAATAACGTGGAATGAATTTAAAATCCATTGACATCTCCCTTCTGTACCAAAACTTCCTATTCCATGGTGATGGATAACAAACTTTGAAATAATAATGAGAGATATGGAAAATAACAAAAGCAATAGTCATAGGGTAGATAGTCACTATTGTCTAGTATGATATGGTATAAAAATATTTATGGCTCTGATAGGGAACTAGTACATGGAGCAGGGTATGCCGGTTGGTACAGGGCCCTCTATACATGGTACCAATTTCTACCAGCTTAGTACTGCCTGGTACAAGTCTTGTATCAGGTGATAACCATGCTTGATGGTAACGCTATCCAACTAGCAATTGTAGGGCTTTAGGGAGGTTATAAAATGCCTCTGAAAACCACAAATCTACCCTTTCTCTTACTCTCTCGCTCTCTCTCTCTCTCTCTCTCTCTCTCTCTCTCTCTCACTCTTTTTTTCTCTAATCTCTGTCAAAATTCACTTAATTTTCTCTTAACTGTCTTCTTAAGTAATTGAATATCATTAGGGAGGTTGATTGCTGCAGGAAGAGTAAAATCAAGATCCAGTCTGTTTCTTCTTCAAATCAAGTAATTTTGAACCTATTCTCTAAGTTTTAACATGCAATTAGGATAAGTTATGTTTGTTCATGCATGCCTGGACAAAATTTCAAAGTTTAGATCTGATGTAGGGTTTAATGTAATTTTTAGATTTGGTGGATCTAAGCTAGATCCATGAGGATCAAGCATTAGGTTGGATCTATGACTAATAGCCTCTCCTACTCTATTTCATTATAATAGTTGATAATTTCTATTCTTATTATTTCTTTGTTTTCCTATTTTCTTGTTTACCTATTTTATTTTTTCTTCTTTGTCTTCTTTTGATGCTTTGGAATCAGCTAGAAATAACCAAAATTGGTTAGCCCTTGAAAATACCCAAAAAAACCCAGAATTATAAAATTTAATATGATTTTAATTAGATTTCAATAATAATAAAATCAAAATATGGTTTATATAGCGAATATATATTTTTTGATGTTGAGGAGTAACTTTGTAGCATGTTCTCCGTTTATTCGATGTTGAATCATCTATAAAGATACAAGCAATGTTAGATTACATATTGAAACTTATAGATTTAAGCAAATTATGTAATAAGTAAAAGTATATATATATATACTTCTACCATAAAAATGAATGATGAGACTCCATAACCGGTAGATCGAGTTCCTCGAACCTATAAATTTATATGTCAATATGGTATATTTGTCGAACCCAATCTAGAAAATTTTCTCTTGATAGTGTATTTGTAAAAGAATATGCTATTGGTGTATCAGTGTGGTAAAGGTTATTGCCTGATCATCATGAACAACACGTGTTTGTGGAGCCTCTCGAGGCAAATATAACTATGGCTGGTATATCTAGGGAGGTTGAAATACACCAGAACTTCTACTATCACTTCTAATCTTATTATCACTACTACTTTTGTTTCATAAGAACAACTAGCCTCGAAAAGAAAATAACTAACCATCATTGTACTACTGTTGGCCATAGGACCCTCCATAATATGATGGCTGCTAATACAACGAGCTCCGATTTGTATCTACATCGTAGAGGAATTGTCGTATCTGCTCGAAGTCATCAACTACCTTCTCTTTCTTTCAATCCTTGTGAGTATAAATGTTACACATGATTCTCCTCGAGCTTTGTAACATGTATCTTGGGTGGTATGCATAAAATACTCCTTCTTGGTCCATGTCTCACCTAAAGACTATGTAGATAGAACCATTGATTGGTCGGCATCGATGCCATCATCAGTTGAGGCACTATTGTTGATATCACTACTACCTCCATGGACCTCATGTAGTGAACTACGATAGAGAAGGTGTCTCAGTGCTGGATTGAAATTGTTACTCGTTGATTCTTTACAAGGGATTAGCTGATACTACTGTCTTCCCCTTTCCCTTCACACACTAGGCTAATGACTGTGATTATTGGGTATCATAACCTCGACTTAATTGATGCGAGATTGTCCGACTACCACATTCTGAACATGGGATTCTGCCTCGTTCATCGATTCTTTCCAAGGGATCGACTCTTTCCCTAACCGCCATTGAAATGTTGGGTGCCATGACCTTGACTTAACTGACTTGGGGCTGTTTGATCGCCATGTTTTGAATGAGGGATCTTTCTCATTCATTGATTCTTTCCCCGATTTCCATTGAAATGTTGGGTGCCATGACCTCAATTTATTTAACTCAAGGTTGTACAACCATCATGTTTTAAACGAGGGGATCTTCCTCCTACAGGGATGTTATGATTCACATGCTGTGATTATGAGATTACCGCTTAACATGCTATAATTAACCCTAATTATTCAAAATTGCCCCTAAAACTAAGGTAATGACAGTAATTGACATCACACATATATAATGACACTAATCACCCTTAACATGTTGAGATTATGCCCTACTTGGACCTAATTTAACCTAAGAGTAAGGTAATGGTCCTAATTGGCCCTCAATTATAAAGGATTACACTAATCAACATTAAGTTGCCATAATTAGGAAAAAAAATGTCTAAGATTATGAAGGATACACTAATCAAACCCTAATTACTCATACAAAGACATAAATAAAGTCCAAACATGTCAAAATCTAACTAAAACATAGAAAGATGATAAATACATTTAATTGAAGATCTTCCATCAAATGTCAAGTTTGAACACTTTAATCCCTCCAATTGAAGCTCTAAGCCTTCTAATCACATATTAGGAAGCTCAATTAAGAAAGAGAGTAAGAAAAAGTAAGGAGTGAGTGAGTGAGAAAGAGAGGGGAAAACTTGTGTGAAAGAAAGTGAAAGAGAGGAAGAAGGTTTAAAATTTTTTAACCATGTCATTTTTTAGGGTTAGGATAAATCTTGGCCCTTGATTTGCATCGGTCGAGATTAGAACAGTCATTTTTCAATTGTTTTGCTTGATATCTTAGGTGTACCGAGTGGTATACTCCTGCCTCCCTTGGTCCACCCGTTGTGGGCGATCCGCATACTAGTCGACTGCACGATCGATACATACCACCCATACCATACTATAGGGCAAAATTATATATTTTGGACTATAGTTTGGATAAGTAGCATTGTATCAGATAAGAAGCACTGTATCAGAATCAGCCAGTTTCATGAATAATAGACACATCTCAATTAGGAGCTCTGCATGTTAAGTGTGATTGCAGGTTTTAGAATCATCATTTCATTGTTGTTCAAATCTTATGGAAGTTACTATTTTGTTACTATTTACATGCGTTTTTTATGCTTTTGCTTTTAGGAAAGAAATAATCAACTTAGAGTATTTTAAACATGGACATTGATGATGCTGATATTCTTAACTTGATCAACATTTTCCCTACGCTCAAGTAATTGGTTGTTTATTTCACTTTTGATTTTTTTCTCTTCTACTCTTGTAAGCTCGAACTTGTAGATATCTCTAAAATTTTTGCAATTCCACTTTGTGATGGATGTACTTAGTATTTTCTTTGCTGGGCATATTTTTATTTTATTCTTTCCAACCTTATACTGTTACTTGTTATTTGATTCAAATTGTCTCTTGCTTCTCTTTCTCCTAATTTTGATACACAAGAGTATTAATATGTAACACAAGTTTACTAGTTGCTAGACTGATGTATATCCTTGAAATTATTATATAGGAGACATTGCATAAGCACAATTCAGACCAAGTAAAAGGTGTGTCAATTGAAGATTTGGAGACTACTCAATACAAGCCTGACTTCAAAGGACACATAGGTGTACATGAAGAAAGTGGTTTACCACGAAAGGAGAACTTATTTAAGAATTGGCCATTGATGTCATCCATCATCGTCTATTGCATTTTTTCTCTTCATGATATGGCTTACAGTGAGGTGCTATATTTTGTTTAACATTATCGTACACCGCCATATTTCAAATATGATTTGTCAATTTTACTATCTTGCAAAGTGTTAGTATGACTTTTCTTGCACAGAAACTTAAATACTGAAAAAAATAGGATGCATGGGCAACAACTCATGTTTAACTTTGTAGTTTCCTTCCAAATACTGGCTCCAAGTTTGATGTTAAAATCTCTTATTACGAAGGAAAGTTTCTTAAATTTTCCATTTGTTCCTTGTTATCCTACGAAATCAATAGCATGTTTTTTCAGTTTTCTGAAACTTCTATGAAAATAAAAAAAGAATGTATATTCATTTGCAGCATTGAGGAATTTGACAAAATAAATAGAATACCTGACATCAGCCCTCTTGAGCTAATATCAAATTTCTCAAATATCTGATCAAGACAATTTTGGAAAGGATAATTGGGAACTCATGAATTTACTTTTTGATGGGTAGGAAATTCTACATTTAATGCTGACTTTTATCCTATAATAAGGAGCAAGGATAATTCTAGGAGGTAGTGACTTGTGATGCAACAAGAAGCAATCATCATGAGCCAACCTGATAGAATTACTAGGCCAGGAAGTTAGACCTACTGGCCTAGTAATTTAGATATAGTGGGCATTTAACCATATTGTCCGAAATGCTTAAGTTATTAGCAGTTAGTCCGTTTAGTGCTTTACAGTAAAAGGACCAATATCTCCTCTCATTATAATTGGACACAGAAGTCCCCCCTGTTTAAAGGCTTGAGTTCTTCAAGATCTAATGCAATCAAGAATCATTCCCTAGCATGCAGCACATGATGTGCCTCTTGCCTCATTCTTAGCCCTTTTCTACTTGGGGGTCATTCACTTGCACACACATACTATTAGGTTTACTTTGATACTAATTATCATGACATAGCCAAAAGACCTTCTAGTCTTGTAAGTAGTAACTTTGATTAACAAACCTCTAACCACATGGTTCACGTGGTTCAAAATGAACAAGCTCAATTTACTTCTAGTTGGTTAACCTCCTCCTATATACTAACAGAACCATCATTTACTTTTGTTGTCAAACTAATTATGACATTATAATGATATTGTGAAGACACATTATGTGCATAGTGTTTATGATTTGATCTGCATTTTTAGTGACGCAGGATGCTTCGATCAGGATGAGACAATTAAAGCAGGAAGAATCATGTTGGGCTGGTAGAACATGTTAGAAGATTGGACATTGAGCCGGAGGATCGATTAACGTGTCGATAGAAGGCTTCGGGCCATGGATTCGGGCATCGGGCCAAGAAGAGCGGATATTGCGCCAAGGATATTGGAGTTGCAGAGTCAACTGGCCGATTGGGTAATAGACCGCAAGAGAGGACGATGCGCCGAAGAATTGGACGAAGCGTCGATGGACCAATAACATGCCGGACAACATGATTCATGCTTAGTATTAATTATCTAGATCGAAGTGTGTTTTTACATGTGTAGGATTAACTACGATAACAAGGCACAAAGTAAAATAGAGTCCCGGAGTCAAGGACGTGATTTCGTTGGGAGTTCGAGAGTTCGTCAGAAGTCTAGACGTTCGTCGGAAGTTCTACAGGAACCAACCGAGAAGTCTAGGAGCTTGCCGGAAGAACCTCGTCGGAACTCGCCAAGAAGATTGTCGTGAAGTCTAGGAGCTTGCCGGGAGTCCGTTGGAATATTACCGAGAGATTGTCGGAAGTTCGTCGGAAGATCGCCGGAAGCTCGTCGGAAGAAACTAGACTTATGGACTTGTTTAGCTTAGTAAATGTCTTAGATTTCGTAGTTAGCATGTAATTGGGATTAGAATTGGGCCAACCCAATTATGGGCCAGTTGGGCCCATATAAGGACTATGTTTGGCCCAATGAAAGATCCAAACAGTGACCTAAGAAGTGGCACCGTCGTGGCATAGTCTTCGAGACTGTGTCAGGCAGTGGTACTACCCCTGGCAGGGTGCCAGGCGATGGTACCACTCAGTGGCCTAGTGTCAGGCGATGGTACCGCCCAGTGCAATGTTAGTGTCAGACTGACACTGGCGGTAGTACCGCCTAGCACAGGCAGTGGTACCGCCCGAACCTAGGAAACCCGGGATAAGATGTTTTTAGGCTCCAAGTTTGAATCTTAAGGCCTATAAATATCTCTCTCATCCCTGGTTAATACACACAAGTATTGAGAGTAAAAAGGAAAGAAACTCTATTGTAATCTTGTGTGAAACTCCTCTCAAAGTTCTAAGTGTTAGAATAGTTTGAGAGAGGAGTGAGTGGGGGTGTAAGGGTTATCTCCTAAACTCGGTAAAAGGAGAAAGAGCTGTAAGAAGGAGGTTGAACTTCGCTTATAAAGGAAGATCGATAGTGGATGTCGATGGCCTCGACGGAAGAGGAATCGATAGAGTGGATGTAGGTCACGACGACCGAACCACTACAAAATCGACGTGTTCTTCTCTAGTTTGCATTTCTATATTTGAGTAATTTACTTTACTGCAAACCTCTTAACTTGCTTTACATCCACTACGCATCTTCTGTATGCTTTTAAGCTATCTTTACGAAAACGCTTTCAAGTTAACCTCTTTCCAAAACGGTTTTCGTCGAAATCGGTTTTTATCATACGAAGGTTTTTTGAGCTGATGTAATTTTACCGCTGCACTAATTCACCCCCCCGCTTAGTGCCGACTCTTTTCCTAACACATAGAGGATAATTTACCATCCATAACAGTTGGTTTCTCAAACACAGTTTTAGAGGATAAGATAGATAATTGAAATAAAAAATATATTGCATAAACCATGGTTTGTAATTTTGTCCATACTGATGTATCGACCAATTATCGGTATGGTATGTATTGAGGCATACTAATGGTATACCTAAAAAATATAAAAAATAGCTCCAAAAATACCTAAAAATAGAAGAAAAAAAATTATTAAGGTTTTTAAGTTGAAAATAAATATAAATTTAGTATAATTTTAGTAAAAATAATCTAAATTAGGAAAGAATAGTGGCACATACCTTTTTTTTACTTTGATAAGTAGCTTTGTAGTACGTTCTAAATCGTCTTTCTATTAATATTGAATTATCTATAAAGAAATAATTTGAATTGTTAAATGTGAGTGAAAATAAGTTTGAGAGAGTTGAAGAGATTGAGAGAGTGATATGAGTTGAAAGAGGAGAGAGGAAAGGGCTTAAAAACCCTTCCCTATGGTTCAAACGATCAATTTGACCATTTGAAATAGGGTGATCTCAGCCCTTGATCGGTACTGGTCGAAATCCGACCATTACCGACAAACGATCAATTTGATCATTTGAAATAGATCAATCTTAGCCCTTGATCGGTAGTGGACGAAATCCAACCATTACCGATCGGTACCGTCTGGTACAAACCTCGTATTGCCCGATACGGGATCAAGTTATGATACCACTCGATAGAGGGCAGTTTGCATACTAATTCCCTGTCGGACTGGTACGTACCGCCCATATCGAGTAGTATGGGCCGGTACTGCAAACCTTGACATGAACACATTTATGCTTGTTTGTCCACTCTCTGAACGTTTCCCTCTTGTTAAAGTAAATGGACATTCTTTATGTTTTGATGCACATTGATATTGGATATTTGTCAAATATTGTATATCCTAACAATTAATATTGGATATTTCTTGTGGTCTTTATACGTTTAGTCCCATTTTATTTGTTTTTTTAGCAAATGTGTTCCTTTTCCTAACATAGATTGTAATGGTATTATATCTAATTCTAAATGCTTGCTAGATATTCTCATTATGGGCTGTTAGTGGTAAAAGGTACGGAGGACTAAGCTTTTCAACTAAAGATGTTGGTGAAATACTCGCTATCTCAGGTACATATAGCTACTTAAGTGCTGTTCAATTATAATATAGTGCCTTTGTTTAAGTTGAAACTTATGAGAATTAGTGTTGTTCTTTGATTCTTTTTGTGATCAAGAGTCCTTTTGAGTTGATAATAAGGTAAATGAATTTTATATTATAATTGAACATAAGAAGGAATGCATAGACGACAGTCCACTGGATTGGCATCAAAATCAGGGATGATTATTGATGTAATTGACATTAGCAAGACCAGTTGGATTGAATCAGTGAGATTGCAGTTGATTTAGAATTAATTGAGAAAATATATTGCATACCATTGTAATTTGTAAGAGTATAAAATATTCTTTTATATAGAATATCATTTGCAGCTTAGATCAGGCGGACGGGGTGGGATGGGTGGAGGCAGGGAAGAAAGAGGAGAGAGGGGGTTGGAGAGGACATTAGGGGAGTGGTGCTAGATACATATTTCACTTAATCAACATACTTTCTATTAATAAGACTTTCACAAATGAATTCATAATGAGAAAATCATGGTCATTTGTTAACAAGTTTTAAAATTTCTACTTAAGATTTTACTAAATGCTGATCTTTTTAAGAGCTGTTCCTTTCTTCTCTACCATGTTCTCTCTGTAGGATCTTCTGCTAGTTTTGAAAGATTATTTATTAGGAGTCAGATGACTTCTTGTATATTGAGAAGGCAAAGGATATAACCTATGATATTTTCACGTCAAGTATGGTTAGGTATTTATATGAAGAACATTATCATCCCAATTTTCTCTAAATCAGTGATGGAGTGTAATCGAAAGCTAATGTCAATCCTTTCTAGTTGATGTTAAATTCCTAATTAAAATGAGCCTAGGGAAGGTAGATATTTCCTAAAGACCTACAAGAACTATAGGAAAATTTGTTTATTCTGTTACGATTATAACATATACAAATAGGAGTATTTTCAGTTTCAGATCTTTTCCTAGACATGCAAACAAGTCTAAGAGAAAAACGACACCTTTTTCCTTCGGGAGCAAGTTTTATCACAAAGGAATGAAAGAGCCAAGGAGATATCAGGGCCCATGTTTTGGACACCTGGAAAGTAAATTAGTAACTCTACAGCTCTTGCCACTTTCTTCAAGATTTAATTAGCTACAGCCTTATCATCTTTTAGCAAAAATCTATGGCCTTTCTATGTGCCATACAATGATATTCCACAGTCAGATAGTTTCTCAAATATATGATCAGAGCTAGACAACTCATATGATATTCCCAGGATTTAATTGAAGTGGTCTTGAATTCAACAAAGTCTTATGTAATACTCTTGGTTGGAGCTCCTAAACATTAAATTTACCACATATATGATTGTGATTTCATTTGTTCTTATTTCTCTAGATAGCATCTTATGACAACTAGTAGATTTTTCTTCAGACGTAGTATCTTAACATGCTGCCTTATTGTTGAAATAAAATTGTGTTTAAAGATTTATTGCATAATGACTGTTGCATCTTTTCATAAATTTTCCTCTGCCAAAAACTTTTAGAATAATATCTGCAAATTTGTTAACTTTCCTAGGGTTGGGTCTTCTATTATTCCAAACACTTCTTTACCCTCCACTTGAGAAACTTGTAGGACCCATCAACTCATTGCGACTTGCTGCAGTAAGGACTATTTATCATCACTTTTCATTCATTGATAAAAATGTTGGTGTATTTGGCTTTCAGCCTCTTTTGATCCATTATATTTTGTAATATGCAGATTTTATCTATACCTTTGCTTGTTGCTTATCCATTTATGGCAAAGATGTCAGGGATTCCTCTCATGTTGATAGTGAATTTGGCATCCGTGCTGAAGAATACTTTTTCTGTGAGTATAGCCGAAGCTGAGCAATTATAGATTTTCTAGTTTTTGACACTGACAAAAAATGTTTCAAACCATCCATCACATTTTAAAATTGAAAACTAAGTGATTGCAAAATTTTATGGCCTATATTTGTGGAGATATTGATCTTTAATTATCAAAATCAGGATCTCTCATAATGCACTGTGTTAAAACCTAGTATTCAACTACCACTCTGATATTGGTTTTAGTGACTTATGGGATCGCTAAGGAACAGCTATGCATGGGCAGTATATTAAAATGTACCACCTAGTATCATTGATTAAAATTATCAACAATAGAAAATGAACAGTATATGCACTAGCATCGAGCTAGAATTTCCATGTCAGTATCTGGTTGGACCAAAAAATTACAAATCGGCGCATACCAGTCTGATCGGTATTTTGGGGGAAAAAGAACTAGGTTGGGACATTGCCCCGGTTGGTGCCTATTGCATTAGCATTCAGTCTGGTAATCAAAATCAAGAGAGTTTTCATACTATGCGTTGGTGCACATAAAGATGCCAGTCCAAGATTGTAGACTTAAACTAGCAAATTTTTGTTGGATCATATAAACTCCTTTGAAAGAAAATTAAATTAAGAAATAAAATATTTGAAATGATATTAGCATAACTTGTTTATGGAAAATAGTGTGGGTATGCAAAGATTTGAGTTAAATTTAAGAATCAAGTACATGGGCAGAAAACATAGACATTACTGTAGATAAGGGTTTACAAAAAATACTGCATATGCTAAAAGAATGTATGATAGAATAATTAATTGTAATACTATGAATTTTGAGGATAAAAGATCACACAAATTAATTCTTGTCTTTGTGGATAGATTGATTTTATCAAATCAATGACAATTTTGGAATTATTGGATGGGTTAATTCAGGTAATAGATATAGTGAAAAATCATATCTGATGCATAACTAATAAAAATAGATAAATTAAGAACATACATAAATCTAATGAGTTTACCGAGTGGTACGGTATGGTACAGTATCGTGTACCGAGTGGTATACCTAATCGAGGTTGGCTTGGTACGGTACGATACTATGTACCGAGTGGTACACCTAATTTAGGTTAAAACCCTTCGAAAATACTTGAAAAAAAAAAGTTAGGATAGAGTTTTTAAGTTAGAAATAAATATAGTAATAGCATAAGTTTAGCACAATCAATGTAAATTAGATAAGAATATAATCACATATCTTTTTCGGGCTTTGAAGAATATCTTGTACAAGGTTCATATTTCAGTCCATTATGGATTGTCCTTATGTAAATATTGAAATATCTACAGAAAAATCATTTGAATTGTTAGACTATTTTTTAGGAGAAAAAAAAAGTTTGAGATAGTTTAAAAAAATATGAGAATGTAATGGGGTGAAATAGGGGAGAAGAAGAGTTAAATACTATGAGAAAGGGCTCCAACGGTCAATTTGACCGTTGGAGCATTGTAGCACTATTACCTAGCAGTAACGGTCGAAATCGACCGTTATCGAGCTGTATCGGCTGGTAACGGTCGAAATTTCGACCGTTACCGCCCGATATAATCCCGTATCATCCGATACGATGAGCTTTTAAACGTTCTGCCTGGTAGCGAGCGGTTCACGTATCGGTATGTCGTCGAACTGGTATGTACCGTCCGTACCGGGCGGTACCATTCGAAATTGCATACCTTGGTTTCAAGTCTTCTTAGGTCTCCCTACAAATCTCCTCATACCACTTAGATCAATCGACACCTCACATAATTATTATCTTTGAATATAGTTATACCATCTTAGGTGATTTTATCTTATTTTATCCTCCATTAGGTTTGTTCATGAATTAGAAAAAAATAATTTTCTCTATTTCCTGGTATTTTTGTACATCCACTTTGACATTCCCATTTCATCTATATATTTCTTCGTATATGTTAATTCTTATTAGATTAGCATTTGTATCCATAAAGCAACACAGTTGACTTAATAACTAATGCAATTTTACTTTAATCGAAGGGACACCTGATCACACAAACGCCCATCCATTTTGACCTATGAACAATGCTATGATCAATCTTCCTATTTTGTCAAATAATAGATCTAAGATGCCAAATTTCTTTTCATATAGTAACCTGTTGCCCATCCATCCAAACTAGGTTTACAATAATTGCATTTCATATTATTTAATCTCAGTTCTACAGATTGTCTTCATCACTCAAATTTTGTATTAATTCATCTAAACTTTCTTCATCTAAATCAATAAATTTGGCAATTAACATAGATCATGGCAATCCATTATATATACTATTAGTAAGTTTATCTATTATTAATTTAAAAAGATAAGAACTTAAAATTGATCTATGATGTAATCCCATAGTTATAAGGAACTCGCTAAAGAGGTAGATAGAGTTTCTTGTAAAGACATATGCATATGGAATATATTAACTTCTTTCACATTAATCATTTTGTTGAAATGATTAACAAAAATTTTGTGAAGGATTTATAGTGAGAAAAATTAATTTATCAAGAAACGATTGAATATATGTTTAAAATAAAATATAAGGCTAGAAGCAAATAAGTATAGAAAAGAACCTTAGAATTAAATGGTGCAATTCAATAGGTCAATAATTTATATGAAAAAGTTTGGCTCAATGAAGACTTATAGTAGATACATTTTGTTTAAATAGTAATGACGAATGAGGATGAATAATTGAATTATGGTAGCTTATGAAGAAAGGTACAGGCTAAAGATAAAGTCAAAATGTATATAATTTTGAGTAATTTAAAGAAAGGCTGGATATATGGATTTGTAAGTAAGTTTAACATTTTCTAGAATAAAATTTTGTAATGTAGTTTTGGAACATGAAAAATAATGAAACAATTTGAGATGCAGATTTCTATCTTATGTTTAACCAACTCTCTGAGAGTCAGTTTATTTAACTTTCGAGTTTGAAGAATGAGTTCAATGCATCACTTCTGCTGGACCAACCATAACTAGTTCATGCTTTGAATACCCTGATTTATTAGGTCCAAGCTCATCCAGAGCTTAATAATTCTAAAAGGTTGACCTATTCTAAACATAGCTGTACATGTAAAGGCCAAAGGACAGCCAAATTTAGCTAGACATAATACCCTGATTTATTATGTCTCCAGTTCCTAACACTACCTTTCCCTGTAACTATATGGTCCAAAGTGGCATATTTTTTTCATAGGAATTGATAACTAAAATATCAAGGAAGATCTGTCACCAAAGTATCCATTTAAGCAAGGACTGTCTTATCGTATTTTAGATCCATATTGGTCGGTCAGACCCATAGTATGCAGTACCGAATGGTACCGCCCGGTACGGGCAGTACATACCGGTCCGACGGCATACCGGTACACGGACCGCCCGGTACCGGACGGTACGTGCTACAATATTATACTGTAGCAGTGCTACAGTAAGTAAGAAAATATATAAAACTATTCGGTATGTCCTGGTGTACTGCTCGGTATGTCCCGGTGTACTGCTCGGTACGCCGGTACCATACTATACCGAGCCAACCTCGAAACACCGGTACGGTACGGTATTGCATACCTTTTTGATGTGTACGGGTGTTTTGAAGGCAAAGAAAAAGGAGAAGAGGAAGGCACAGATCTTCAGGAGGGAGGAGGAAGAAAAAAGGAAGCTGAAGGAAGAAGAGGAGACAGTGGAGGAAGAGGAAGGAGAAGGAAGATGAAGTGGTGGACAAGAAGGAACAAGAAGGAAGAAGAGGTGAAGGAGGAGAAAAGGGAGTATACAAGGGAGATGGTGGAGAATGGAATGGAAGCAGTGGCAATGTCGAATGGCAGCAGCAACAGCAACACAAGAAGAGGGCAGTGACAAGAAGACAGCAGCAGTGGTGGCAGTGGCAGTGGCAGTGGCATCATGAGAAGAGGGCAGCAGCAGCAGTGAGAAGACGGTTCGCATGAGCCTAATCGTGTGAGAAGAGGGCAGTGACATTGCTGTTTTTAGTTGTTTATCCTGAGTTAGACAGGACTGGTGCATATCATCTGTTTCGTACCATTTCGGATACGATGACAGTCGTTGCATGAAGTATTATTTAGTATACTGAGTAGTAGTATTATGATCTCTCTAGATCTGTTGTTGCATGTGTAAATTGTCTTCTAAAAATCCAGGCCCATTTTGTAGACCATCTTGAACACGTCAATTTCTATAGAGCAACTTAGGTTTTTTCAGATGAGAAAATATATTCACTTCCCAATGTTATAAATCTTAATTTAATTCCACGGATGACCTTTTATATTTGATTCACTAATTTCTTAAATTTTATTTGTTTACTAGATCAATCTAATTGTTTCTTATGCTTTTTATCAATTTCTTATATGATCAGGTAACTATCGTCACTGGATTGTTCATTTTGCAAAACATTGCTGTGGTAATGTTCATTAATCTGCACTTTAATTCTCTTATTTATGGTTTCAAAATTTGTGTTGTTTCCTAGTCTTCCAAACCAATTCATCATGGCACTGAAGCACCTATTTAAATGTTAAACAATTATCTCACGTTAGTACATAAACTTCAGGCTCAAGATCAAAGAGGAGCTGCAAATGGCATAGCTGTGACTACAATGTCCATTTTTAAAGCAATTGCTCCAGCAGCTGGTGGTGCTATGTAAGTATTACTCATTACCTTGTCAGAGCTACATGATGTCTTATGAGTCCATGGCTCAGATGAAACAGTTTTAAATATTGTTCCAGTGATCTTTTTGTAGAGTGCCTTTTAGCTTATTACCAATGTTGTAAAACATCAAAATGAAGAACTTGACCACATTAGGTTTGATAAATTATCTCCTGGTGGCTGAAATCCTTAAATTGATATCTTTAAATCAACAAATCAATATAATAACTAAGAAATGTAAGTGAAAGATGTCTTGAAACTTTTGATACATGAATCCAACTAATAGCGAGAACTTTTTATCTTTCTTAATATTTCACAGTTTGATAAGCAAAGTTCTGTAAAGTTGTCCTCTCCAAAGTTTCATTTTATAGTTATTCACCATATAAATTGGTTCCTCGTAATAATTTATAGATTAATGATTAAAGCACCTTCTCACTACACAGACCTACATAGACATATGATAAACTCAAGACATTTGTGGCCTGAAACTGCATTAAAAAAATATTGGTAGAGAACTTGGATGGGAAATCGACACTCATAAGTATGATCTGATGATTCTGATCTATTTAAAATTCTCCAGAAACATTATTCTGCCCTTCTTTTTTTGCCAATTTATATATTCAAAATAATATGGATGATATGAATAACATTAGCAAAGAAAATTTATCCTGATGCATATAAGCTAATATCCTAGCCATTGATCTGGATCTATGTATGATCACAAGAAGGATATGTAAGACTTCGTAGGAAAAGTTGACATTTGTTCCTTGAAATTGGCATACTGATCATGCTCAATGGTGCCCCATGGTGCTTTCCTTAGTTTCCTATTAAAGTGTTCAAGTGGTCTATACTTCTTAGTCTATCCTAACTTAATTCTCTCTATACCGAGGAATGCAATTTCACCATGGACCAGCACAAGTCTGCTCAGTTCCAATATATCGACACAGTATGACAGAACACGTCAAGGTATCTGAGTGCTGAGGGAGGGGGGTAGAAAGAAGACAGCACAAGTCCGCTCAGTTCCAGTATACCGACGCACAGTTTGACAGAACACATCATGGTATCGAGTGCTGAGGGAGGGAGGTAGAAAGAAGGTGAAGAAGAATGAAGAGGGAGAAGGAGTAAGAGGAAAAAGGAGTGAAAATCAGAAGGAAAAAGAAGAAGAGGAAGAGGGAAGAGGAGAAAAGCAGGAGTGAAAATGTTAGCTTACTTTCATGATTCCTAGACAAAATCTGCTGATTTGATTTCATGTATGCTGATCCTTTACTATAAAAACTAGGATTTAAGCTGGACATCCTAGAAATAAGTAATTATAACTTAATTTCTCTCTGAGGACAATATTAAAGAAACTGAGTATTGACACCAGTACCTGAACCAGTTCCCTGTCAAAAATATACTAAGTTGTATTGGCCAATATACATTGGTCCCTATTAGGGGAAAATAATTAGACAGAGAAGAACAAACACACCCCCAAAAAAAAAAAGAAGATTGTACCAACTACCAACCTAATTCTATATCCTTCTTGATCACCGTTGCTTTGTTGAGCTAGAGGGGAAAGAAGGCTCATGAGAATTGAGGGTTGATGTATGTAATACCTGGCCTAAACCATTTCCTTAAGGGATCAGTCAATGGTATGGCTAGTTTGGCCCAAATCAGTGGAAACCATTTAGGTTTCAGTCTGAAATAGCATCTTATGGGAAATCTGGTCCATTGTACAACGTAATGGTGCAGTTTGGTCTACAAACAGTCCTACGTTCTGTTGTATACTGCCCATATCAAGCAGTATTGTCATACAGTATTCCTATTAAACTTTTTAAATTTGTTTGATCTGTGTGTATTATGGATTGTAACCAAGATGTATAAGTTAGTAGAAGATTCCATGTTTTTGTCACCAAGATTATAGATTTTTAATTAATGAGATAACTCAAAAGCATGGTCTGTTTAGTGCCTTGTCATTAAAGAAAAACTTGTCAATTCTGTGTCTAAGAATTGAAATCAAGGCGGCGTGAATCAGACAGGGGTGTACCACCGGGTATGCCCGGGCGAAACAATAGAAACTTGACTGATCGGTTAGATTCTGACCGCACCGGGCAGGTTGTGTCAAATCATTTGGGTCCAACAGTCAAATTGACTATTGGACCCTTGGTTTAGCCTCTTTCCCTTGGTTGTTAAAGATCAACGGAAGCAACAGAGGATCACATGACAAAATTACTCCTCAACAATCCAAAAAAGATAAAATTGCTATCTCATTTTAAAAAACTATAATTATTAACCATTTATGACTCATTTGCACTTTATTTTTGCTGAAATTGAATTGAAATTGCATTAGATTATGGTTTAAGGGGTTTTTTTATTTTCAGTAATTTTTTGACCATTTTATATCTAATTTTCTGAAAATCGGTATGTACCAGCATAAGTACGCTGGTACCCACTGGTACATACTGGTGTGGGCCACGAACGGCAGCCCAGACTGGCACTTCTGGTCAGCACGAGATGGCAATCCTTTTTCAAATACCAAACATTGTCAACTGTAATGACCAGTATTTATACTTTGCACCCCTTACTGGTATGCAGTGTGTACTACCTGTATCACAATTATACTGATCTATGAAAAAAATTTTGTATTATTGTCAAATGGTATACCACACTGTATACCCTACAGTACCAACAGGCTGTGGGGTCAAGCAGTGGGTTGGTATTCGGTATGAACTGATATCAAAATCCTTGGCATGTATAACTGGTGGTCAATTTGTCTTTGATCCTACCAAAATAGATATGTGCTCATATAACATTCATGAATTTAAGCCTAAACTTGTGTTTTCTCTTTCTTTTTTTTGGCACATTCTCTAAGTGAGATCCTCACTGTTTGCTGGAAAGAGGACTTCCTTTCTGTATGATGGCTACATCCTGCTATGATTGAGTTACATTTGTTCCTATGTTCTTTACTTATATCAGCTATACCACGATTGCAGATTTTCCTGGGCACAAAAGCGCCAGCATGCTTCCTTCCTTCCAGGTAAGCATTATATAGTAGCTAAGAAGCCACTACAGTGTTACAGAACCTTCCTTTTTTGTTCATCTGATTACTCTACTAAATGTTACCTAGTGCCTTAACTTTGACTACAATCAAAGTTTCCTTTGTTAAAGTTCGACTACTAAACACTTCAGATGACAATATGTTTGTGTACCTTGGTTTTCTGTCAATAGTCATCCATTTAATTTTTAAGATTTTGAGACTAATTTATTCATAGGATTTTGAAAATGAGCGTCAGTTCTTGTTGCATCAATATCGAGAGTAAATGCAGTATTTTGGCTCTTCCAAAAGTCAGTAACAACAATGCAACCCAAGTTTACTTGAGGAAGTTATATTAGAATTTAATATTAAGAATGAGAACTGACTTGGTTTTGTAGTGTAAAGTGATATTGGTCTATAAGATCAATAGTGGATTATAACTCGCTGATGCAAAATATTGAAATAACTTGGAAGACAATTTCTTTGTCATTTATACTCTATCCAGCAGAAAAATAAATTACTCAGACAGCTAGCATGAAATCATGAATACTAATTAAGTCTCACAAGAATATAATTTTATGGTATTTGCAGTCATAATGCTTTTCAATATAACACTAAAGTAGAGGAAATATTTTAATGTTGGTTGAGAAGTTAGCTAAAACATGAAGGAAAATAGCAAAGAAACAAATGACACGACATAATCTTGATTGTGTTATCTTTGCTTTAAAAAGGGAAAAAACAGTAGGATGGGGTAGAAGCCACAGATAGATGAAACGGAGATTATAAATGAAGAATGTCCTACAACTGAAGTGTTGATCAACCAAATGCAGTTCCTGTTTGCATCAAGAACTATTCAGTATTTCCTTGCTAGCAATTTAAGTTGATTATGTACACACCTGTTCATTAATGTTAATATGCATCTTGCAGTTTTACCATTGACAACTCCTGCTAAGATTATGCAAAACCTTCCACTTGCAACGCTGCACTAGCCAATTTCAGTTCTACATTAACTCCATTATTTTGTGTTATTCTGACATTAATTTATCATTTTTTTAAATTCTTCTTCGTTGTATTTGTCTTAATTGGTTTGCAGGTGATCAAATGGTTTTCTTCATTTTGAACGTGGTAGAGTTTATCGGACTCCTGTTGTCCTTCAAACCTTTTCTGGTTCAACGATGCAACAACTAGAACACAACACTGCCACTATGATCGTAAAAGATACAACGATGTGCAGTTACCTTTGCGAAGTGCAGAAACAACAACTTTCATGTTCTTCGATCTTCATCATATGATTTGGTGTAATTCTAATGACCAGGTGAAGATGTTTTTCCATATACATATATATGCATATATGGGTGTGATGTAATCTAGCAGATTGATCATTTCATATGTGGCAATGTACTACAATGAAAGATCAAATATTATGGAGAAGTGGACAAATAATGCCTTGTGTTGGAGTCTTAGTCTTACCTGTAAAATATAAGCGTGGTGTTATTAATTGGATCAAGTGATATGAAATCATTTTATTTAAATTATCCTTATTTTTCTTGTGTGTAGCAAGATTTGAATTCAGGAAATGAGATTCTGCATCTGAGTGAGTTATTCCCCAATCTGATCAGTACAGTAGCACTAATACAACTTTTGATGTTCTTGTTGCTTATGATTTATAGTAACATTTCATGATGAAAGTTGTATCAAGTTTGGAACTTTTAGGAAATCAGCTTGTAATTATCTTTCTCAACCACAAACTCTTCTTTTACTGGGAACAAAGGAACGTTATGGAAGGTTTAGATGAGTTCTGGAAGTGTAATACCCTGATTTAGTTCTATATTGGAGCATTAGAACAGAGCAAATTTTGAACTTGTGGCTTTTTCTCATGCAAGGGATAACCACTAACCATAGAAAGAGAACAAATTAAACCAGTCATCCAACAATATTCCACCTTTACTAAATTTCCGTTGATTAAATAACACCATGCTAATAAACATATAATGTACTTTTTTTTTTATACTCTCTTACAAAGTGTATACAAATGTGTTAATCTTTCTATTAATAAATACTTCTTTTTCTTGTAGACATGTGACTGATATGAATAACATTAAGTTTTACGATGAAGAACATAATATCCATAAAAATAACATTAATATTACTAAGGAATAACAACAACAATAGTGATGAGATCGATCCATACAATAACAACAACAATAGTAAGGAATAAGGAATAATAAGGAATAACAATAACAACAACAATAGTAAGGAATAATAACATTAATATTACTAAGGAATAACAACAACAATCATACAATCGTATCGATGTATGATTGTGGCATAAGGTCTTATGTGATCATCATGTGTTTGTAATCTTCACTTGAATCATCATCATAACTTAAAATACAACGAGGCATATAGTCTCAATCGTAAAGGTTTAGTTGGAAGATATTGGAGGATCATTAATTGGAAATGTTAATGGCTTCTTACATCTCCTAAATAATGTATTGAAGATATAGACTCAGTTTCTGTTAATGTATTGAAGTATTTTTCATTTCTTTAATAAAGCTTCTTCAGTAATTATTCTTATCTTCTATTATTTTCATCATGGTATCAGAGCAGTGAGAAAAGTGAAGTTTCGCTCTTGCCTTTAACTAGCGACCAACGTCGTTGAGAAAAACGAAGCTTCGCCCTTGTCTTCGGCCAACGACCAACGCCGCTGCAACCACATTCCTAAGAGGCTCCACGACCAATCCTCATCTTTCTCACCGCGGTAGTCTTCACTGTCTTTATTGATCTCGGTGGACTTAAGGAGAACGTTGGACGGACTTGAAGAAAATCCTCTTGAGGAAATCCTTTCTCTATAAATAGGAGAGGGAACATGTTAATGTATTGAAGCATTTTTTATTTCTTCAATAAAATCTTCTATTATTTTTATCAGTTTCAAATTATAATAGAAGGAAAGAAGGAAATCAACTAATTAATTTGTTCACCAATTTTACTCGATTATAAAAATAATAATCTATAATTTCGAGCCGCCGCCTCTATTTTGCATTCTGATGAAGACGAAAAGGTTGCATTAGAATTTTCAATTAATATTAGCTATTTATTTCGGGAAAAAAAGAAAGCGGCCATTCAAGTTGTTTTTTATCATTGCGAATACCGTCACACCGCAATGTTAGTAAGCCCCGTTGTTGCATGTGAGAGTCACGTGAGAAGCCGCATTTTAAAGGGAAAGCGAGACGGCCTCATGGCATAACACTACGGCTCGGGCAAAACCTCCGTTGGTGGGGTGGGATTATGCTACGCTGCAGCGCAAAAATGGTGGCGCTTCTCCCCAATTCCCGCATCGTCGCCTCCCACGGCCTCGGCCTTCCTCGCATTCCCTTCGCCCGATTCCGCAACTTGCATCGTTTCGCTTCGGATTGCGGTAGGAAGAGGCTTCCTGGTGCCCGCTATCCGCTCGGCCCCTTGTTTTCCTTCACGAATCCCCCCTCTTCCGTGGGGTTTGGAGGTGTGGTTCGTCTTTTGTCGTCCGGATTTGAGCCGAAGGGTTTCGATTCCCTGCGGCTTCGAGCCGCTTCTGATGGTGGTTCTGGCGGTCCCAACGGTGGTGATGGTGGCTCCGGCGGTGGAGGTGGAGACGAGAGCGGTGGTGGGAATGATCGGTTCTTTTTGTCGTGGTAAGAAGGTTGCGTTCTTGTGTCCTCTGTGCTTTTCAATATTTTAGTGCTGAAGCTCTTTATCATGTTGAATTTGCTTGAACTTTCTTAAGCGTAATGTGGTCCGTTCAGCTTCTAGTTTCAAGAAATGGATATGAAGAAGGGATTAAAACTATTAATCATTCGAAAATATTTGGTCATTTTGATGAGTGCTCTGCCTTATCACGTGAGGCAGGAACATCGCGAGGTCTATTTAAAAAAATATTTTCATGATGGGAACGATGTTTCTATCAGTGTGATGTTATTGAGCATTATATTATCTCAAAGTGTTAAATGTTACTTATGTTCCAAGCTAAGGGTGGCGAACTGTGTGCATAGGGCTCCTACCAATGTAGGATCTTGGGAGGCTCAACATATGTAATCTTACACTTGTGAATAAAGAGTTCCAATTTAATCATCCAGGTTGCAAAGGGGCAACCTACCATGACCCTAGGCTCGCCCTTAATAATTGAAGTTCCGAGATAGTCAAATAATTTTAGTTAGCGGACTAGGTTTATTTAAGCCTTAATAACACTGGTAGTGAATTAACATGGATTTGGTGAAAAAGTGCTGAAACTATCTTATGTGGCACTTTCATCATAGATTTCAGTGATATGCTTTTTGCATACTATATATGTGTTGGGACATTTAATGTCTAATAGTGCCACAAATCAAGAGATGATGCCAAAATTTGTGTGTTCTATGGCTAACCCCCTTTTGAGGGATTAACATATAGTAGTGCTTTAAGATGTTTGTACTCGACTAAGGTTCACAGTGAATTAACATGACCAGTAGCTGCTAACTAGCTAATCTAAACAAACAGAAGATACTAAAAATATTTATCACACAAGATATTGTTATGTCACTTCTTTCAAGTTATTTCTTGTAGAAAGATTTTGGAGATACTTATTTTCCATAGGATGATAATATTATACGGGAGCTTTGATCCAAAAGTTTGTGTATTTGAGAGATTTTAAAAACAATTATCAGAGCAAAAGAAAGTATTAGTGAGCTTTCTCCTAGAAGTAAATAGAGGATTTCCTTTTATGACAAATAGAGATGTATTAGGATATGATGAAAGATAAAGGTTCCTTATTAATATAGCAAGTGGTACAAACTTTAGTGTTTCTGATAAACTATAATAGATATTAAAATGCCTATAAAAAGAGCGTACCCGGTGCACGAGGCTCCCATCAATGCGGGGTCTAGGGAGCGTCAATGTATGTAACCTTACCTTTAAATATTTAAAAAGGCTGTTTTCGTGACTCGAACCTTGGTCTTTTACGTCACAAAGGAGCAACCTTACCGTTGTACCAAGACCTGCCCTTAAATTGATGAGTACAGTCGTGGTTCACCTTACTCGTCCATACCGGTGTACCGACCGTCGGTACGGTACGTACCGAACCATACCATCGTTCCAACACATGGTACGGTGGGGCGTACAGACAAACCGCCCATACTGGTCCCCTATTGGATTGATATGTACTGCTCATACCGGATGGTATGCCATGGTATGAGAAACCTTAGGTACAATCACATGCAACTGCTGGGAAGAAAGAAAGAACTTGGTATTCATGGCAGTTTGTTCTTTTGCTAAATTGGTTTACTCTTCCTAAATCATTTGATATTCCCATAACAACTTTGGCATAACAGATTTGTGCTACTTGATGTTGGATAGACACATCAAGTGGGTAGATCCAATCTCCAACATTGAATTTACTAGCAATGCTTAAGTTTAGAGGCAGAATGATGATGAATAGGGATTGGAACTTTGACACAGCTGATTTATTAAGTTAGAAAGGGGATAATGACTAATGAAAAATTGTTTACGTGGGTTTCCAGAAGGCATTGTGGTTACTATGAATTTTGAGGTACTGTGGATTATATATATTATACTAGGGAAGCCAAATTTTCGGTTCCGTGGATGGATGGAAAGTAGTGAAAGAACAGAAAATTTTGAACGATGGGAGGCACACTGGGAATACGATCTGCTAAATGGAACAAATTCTAGAATTGAGGATATTTAATGTTGCTTTCCCATTGTCAAATTCTCAATCGTTTTTGAATGGAGAGGCGTATTTGTGAATTTCTTCTGCATACCCTTTTTTCTCATCCATTTTTTTCTTCTATTTTTCAAAAGTTAAAAGTTGATCCATAAAACAACATAGGCTTCTTTATTTTGCTTTTTTAATGCTCAATATTGGTATTGGACCGTTCATTGTGACCATAATGATACATATGGTCAGAATTTTGGAAGTTTATACCTTTTCACTGAAACCTAGTCAAGGGGCTAATAGTTGAAATGTTGAATGTTCTAATAATATTTTAGTCATTGAGGTGGGAATGTGATTCTTGATAGTTCTTTGATGATTTTCATTGAGGCGGGAATTTGATTCTTGATAGTTCTTTGATGATTTCATCATCAAGTCTGTTCCTTTTAGAAGTTTTTAGTGTTGAAGTTGTATGCATTATAATATGTAGATTTTTTAAACTTTTTTTATTAAATGGAGAAAATGTTGACAAATATCTATTTACTACCTTCAGGTACTTGATGGCGCTTGATAAATATCCAGTGATAACTAAAGCTATTACATCTGCACTTCTAACTCTTATTGGAGATTTAATTTGCCAGGTTCCTTCTCCCCCATATTAGTGACTCTGGTAGTATTAAATAATTTTTTTTTTTTGCATCTACTAGACTTATCAATGATGATGAAGACATTGTTAAGACATATACTCCAGCATGATACATCATTCATTCTTTCAATTGATTAACTGAAGTTGGACTTATTACCAGAATTAGTAAAGCTGCTTATGACACTTAAATAGAGAAACTGCATGGCAGGCCATCAACCACAAATTTGGTTCTCGAAACTAGAAGATTTTTAAGAATATTTGAAGTGACCAAATGTGTCAGTGTAAATTGGGGATATTTGGTGACAGAAACCCTAAGAGACACATCAAGCAACAAAAGTAAGATTCAGAAACAAATTATTTAAACTAAAGGAACTTTCAGCAAATATTTAGAGGTTGCTTAATTTGTTAGTGAAATGCAGTCTAAACAAGTCAAGTGGATTCAGATCATTATCATGTTGTCCTTATTAATTTGGTACTAATTAAACCTAAAATTAACTAAAATTCTATAGTTCTATGGTTCTAGAGTAAAATTTTTCGTAGAACATAATGTCACAAAATTATTTACATGGATTATGCTCTGTTTCTACAAGAAAATATGCTGGCCCACCTGTATCAAAATAATGGATATGCTACGGATAGGATTTAGGAGACAATGTTGTTTTTAACTTTTTTCATGAAATAGTTCAAGTATTCTAGATGAGGTTTAAACTCTGGGTTTAAAATACCTTATTGGATTAGTATGATACTAGCATACCGTGTGGTATACCTATCTAGAGCATCTAAAAAAAGTCCAAACCGAGTGCACAAGTCCCCACATTGCTTGCCAACAGGACTTAGGAAGGATCAATGTGTTCGGCCTTACCTCTATATTTGTAGTGAGCTTGTTTCCAAGATTCAAATCCTGGTTTCCTATATCGTGAAAGAACAACCTATGCCAAGGCTCACACTTACATCATCTAATATTGTAAAACAAATATAAAAAGATTACCAACCAGTTCCGAGCTATGTGGTCTTGTATTGATTTTCAGTCAAACTATTAAATACCTCAGCATATATTAGTCCACTTGGTATTTGAAACCTTGTTTTAGATTATACCAGAATCCGAGCTTGTTTAGTAGATTTGGGCACCAGCAGGACCATAAATAGTTATGCTTATAAACCCTTGAGGTTGATGCTTGGAATGCTGTCCCTTCTCAATGCAGTAAATTTATTTTAGTATCATTATCCTTTTTTTTTGTGCCATATTAAATAATTCTCATGATCCATGCCAAAAAGAAAGAACACAATGTTTTATAAAAGAGCTAGTTAAATTGCTAAACAGACCAGGTAGGCATATGATCAAATGAAATGAAGTACCTAGTAGTACTTAAGGTCCAAAGACTTTGGTAATACTTGGCTGTACTTCAATCATCTATTTTTTTTATGTTCATTTATCAAAGCCTAATGAATTTTGACCCAGTATTACTGCATTTATCTTGCTCTAGCACTTAGTTACCAATTGTATCTTTCCAGCTATTGGTTGATCAGGTAACCAAGTTGGATTTAAGGCGAACATTTGTGTTTACTTTCTTGGGACTTGTGCTAGTGGGTCCCACATTGCATTTCTGGTAAGGATATATAATTTGTGCTTTCTTCTGTTGTGAAGTGTTTACTTATTAATCCATGATCTTCCTCTAGAAAAGTTCCATGTTTAAATATTGAGAGATGTTTGGTCAGAATAAAGTCAATCCCATGCAAGGTGTGTCTTCTATTTCTCTTGGTAAAGGATGTGCTCACATGTAGGGTTCGCCTTACCAGTTCGTATCGGTGTACCGACCGATCTACGGTATGGTACATACCTCTCCGTACCGACGTCTCGTGTGTCGGTATGGCAAGGCATACCGACAGCACAAAAAAAATCTCCAAAAATTCTTGAAAAATAGAAAAGAAGTTAGATTAGGGTTTTTAAGTTAGAAAATAAATATAAATTTAGTATAATTTTAGCAAAAATAATCTAAATTAGAAAAGAATAGTAGCACATATTTTTTCGGGCTTTGAGGAGTAGCTTTGTGGTACGTTTAGGACCATCCTTTTATTAATATTGAATTATTACAAAGAATTGATTTAGATTGTTAAATTATTTGTTAAACAATTTAAACTTTAAGATTCAAATGAATTAAGTAATCGATCGATGGATATACCTGGTTGTACCATAAAAAGAACTATGGGACTTCGATTGAGGTCCTCGATCCTTTGTATATGTATATCAATTTAATATGTTTGTCGGACTCAATTTTAAAATTAATCTCATGACATAATATATTGATACACCGTATGCGATTGGTGCATTAATGTGGTAAAAGTCATAGTTTGATCGTCGTGAACCACATGTGTCCGAGGCGGCTCTTAAGGCAAGTATGATATTGATATACATTTGTATGAAGGTTGGAGAATGTCTTATACATTCTTTATTTGTATGAAGGCAAGTATGGTCATCTTTATTGCACTTAAATGTCTTATACATGCCATTCTTTTTTGCTAACGTAGGTACTTGTATCTCTCTAAGTTGGTCACATTTCCTGGAGCATCAGGTGCATTCTTGCGCCTTATCCTTGACCAGGTATATAAATTTCTTTTATTTGTGTAATGTCTATTGAACATTTAATAACCTGCCTGAAATATTAGTGTCCTATTCAACCTTTAAGTATAAGCATTTTCTATTTCATATTGATGAGTTGTATTAAGTTTCTGGTAATCCTCCTCTTTGTTATTTTACTTCACACATCATAGTCTTCACATGGGTGCCACCACTCTGGCACAGTTTGTCTTCTCTCCCATCTTCATAGGAGTCTTTCTTAGCTCAGTTATTGCCTTGGAAGGAAGGCCTTCTCAAATAAAGCAGAAGCTTCAACAGGTGCGGTGTCATTTTTCCTATGAATAAATTTTCAAGTTTGAACTTAATTTTCTCCTTGCCTTTATGCGCATAATATCATGCCTTTGTGTAGGAGTGGTTTTCAGCAGTGCTAGCAAATTGGCAATTGTGGATACCCTTCCAATTTCTTAACTTTCGGTTTGTTCCTCAGAAGTTTCAGGTGTGATGGATTCCTATCTCATGTAATCTTTAATAGCTAAAATTTACAAACCTGTCTAAGCAGTTGTTTTCTTTAGACTTCTGCAGTCTTTTCAGGAAAAATATTTTCTGCTACTCTGATAAATTCTAGTGCATTATACTGCAAAGTTCTATTGTTTGCAAAGATTGACTTTTCTTTTTGAAAATTTGTTAAAGGTTAAACTAAACTTGTATATCATAACATTTTATTCTCATAATAAACAAGTAATCCACTATGCTTCTTTTGTTTATTTTTCTTACTTTGCTTCTTATAATTTGATAATTTTTAATGACAGGTTCTAGCTGCGAACTTTGTTGCTCTTGCATGGAATGTGATTCTCTCATTTAAAGCCCATAAAGAAATTGTGCTGAAATAGGTATCTTCAATTACTTTGTATTTGACAGCTGAGATTTGACTTTAGTAATGGTAACACATTTTGTAGTTTAAAAATTGGTGAGAATTGTTAAGTCCAGATTAACACAATTAATTGGTTGATTCTATTAGACAATCTGCAACACTTATGTCAGAGGAATTAAACTGATGGGAGTACTTGCCAAACCAGATCATCAAGTTGATTAGAGTTAGAATAGTGCTTTCATATTAAAATGTTACCATAGTTTCCTAGTTTACAGAAACTCGTAAATGTTTGGTGGTGCTCTAAGCTTTTCCATAGTAAAAGCACTGTCAATGATTGTGATGCTGGTGATGGGCGCATTGTATAGGTCAGATTAATGCTCTGCTGCTTTGATATCATTTTTGCTAATTAACATTGAGAAAGATCTATTGCTTTGGTATTGTTTTTCTATTAACATTAAGAAACAGAGTCAAGTACACAATTTAAAAAATTTACACTTGACTAGCAAAAAACAAAGATCTACCGTTGATTTTCATAGATCTAAGTTAAATATTTACCAATTTGTTTTGGACATACATGGATCATTATCAGATCAAAATAGATCTTGGTTAGAACTGCGAGGATTGAGATCCAATCTATGTGGATCTTTGATGGATCCATGTAGATACTGCTTTAAATTGACTTCTGTTCTACAATGAATCTACGTCAATCTTAGGCGGTCTAAACTGTTCTTTGGTCGATGTGCACTGTTTTTTGTGAGGTCCTGGTCAATCTAGGAACCAAGGAATCTAAGTTGCATCTGGGTCCATCTTGGCTGGATGTATGCGGACTCTGGCCAAGCCCTTTCCAATCTAGCCTGGGATCTCCAAGGATCTAGCTTACATTCAAATAAATTTATTAAATGAAATATATGTTGATCTGCCCTTTTAACAACAATGCATGCTTGAAACTATAAATTTTAGCCTTAATTTAATAAAAATGGCTTTATTAAGGAAAAAAAAAACCTAATAAGCATGGTGGCAGAATTTAAATTTACCTTGATTTGGAGAAAAACCAAACTCCCTCTTAAGAAATCCATCATGTACTGAGAAAGGATCTAAATCCTAGCCATTTGAGAAATTTGATGTCAAAAGAGAAAAGTTTGGAGGAGAAATCAAGAAAGACTGGAGGAGCAGAAATGAGCTGCTGATAGAGAAGAATGAGGAGGAAAGGGGAAACTAGGTAACGAGGAGTTTTTATGGGGTTGTTACTGGCAACAGGCATTAGGCTTACCTCCTGGAATTGCTCGATACTGGTCTCAATACTAGGCCATATAACTGGTATGAATCTGGCCAGGGCAAAATCCTCTAGTCTACATTTTAAATCGTGATAGGAGTTGTAAGTGCCGATTGTTACAGATGAGTCCAACCGAAACCTTAAACCTTGTCTCAAACAAACTGTAATTGCTTTAGAAACCAAGAATTTTGAAGAGAATGATTGGAAAAATGAAATTTAAAGATAGAGAGACAGTGAAGGCATATTTTTGTAATGTTTTTTAAAGTGTGTTTAAGATTTTTATTCGTGAAAAGTTCTTCTATTTCCTTAGCAATGTTTTAGGACTCCACTATGATTGATTGTTTAAGATGTTTTAAGGGCATCGCCTAATTGATTAAAACACCTAAATTTCTTGTGATAATCCACATAGCTTTGTATATTGAATCCTTTTGCCTTATCTCTTTCAATACTTGCATCGGATTGATCCATCAGAGTTTATAAATATCATAGCAAGAGGAATGATAAGGTATTCGCAGAACACCAATACTGAGTTGAAAACTTTTTGATGGCCATAAAAGTTTTGGTACACGAGTTACAGATTTACTATTGCAGTAGGAATTGTCAATAGGTCATCTTTGTTGACTTATAATTTAAAGTTGTTGGATCTGTCTTAAAAGCCATATGGAATATTGCTTCTTGATTCTTTCCTGCTGTGATGAAGAAACAAAAAATAGAAGGGCTCTGTTAGAGTTGAAAGCAATTAGCATAACACAATCTAAAGTGCCGTACAAAATGTCTGAAGGATAATTCTTGTGTGTCTGTGTGGAAATGGTGAAAATTGTGATATAATAAAGATACCAGATATTACTGTCACTTGATTGCTAGTTCAACAATGGCTAGTTTGAGATGCTTGGCCAGATAGATAAAGTTTTCTGAGTGTTCCAAGCATATGCTTTGACACATTTGTTGGATAATTGTGATATGATCACCAGTGGATTAACTAATTATTTGTGTTTATGATTTTATATTCTAAAATATGGTTAGATGATTAAGTCTAAAAGTTGGGACCACTTTCAACATTTTCATGGCCTTTGTTCAGAAGCAAATGTATAGCTTAGCTGATACATGTTTCTGCTCCTTGTGTCATTTCAGAAACAAAAACTTTATATCACTTGCATTAAGATCCCTTCTGATTCAAAAGACATGGTGAACAACTGACACAACTCCTTCAGTCACTTTGTGTATTACATTTATGTTATGTCTGTCCTTTCATGATATCATCAATTGTCAAACTCAGATGTTCGCAAATTTCAAAACTGCTCCTAAGACTTGCAAAGGAGCCATCTTGAACTCCAAAAAGTGTCTAAAAATGTGCCATCTTGATTATTTCATATTAGACCCATCAGAATCATCAAGTGATAATTATGGAGAACAGGAACCATATTGACCAATGTGTAGTTTGTTTTTGAGGAGGATCATGAGAGTTGGATTATTGTCTCTGGTAAATAATCATCACTAGCTAATTTACTTGTGGACTGCTTTTAATTGTTTTTGTGGACTGCTTTTTATCTCTGCCTTCACGTCATAATTGATGTTATATATCAAACATTTTCCTGCCAGAACAAACAGATAATGATTGTAACCTTTGTCATGGAATACTACAGCTGGCTAAGTCAACATTTGCTCGCACCAATCTCAGCAACCAGTTGCATGTTTTCAGAAATAATGCAGCCAAGTAAAGGTTTATTTGCGAGCAGTTAGCATTTGACCAGTTTTAGTTTGTTTCTTTTATGTAAGTCTAGAGGAAACATGCGCTATTTTAGGACGTTTGTCTTGTTGCTTTAATTGAGGTTGCATTTCTCATTAAAACTTCCAGAAAGCTAAAAGATTTGTGGTTTTTATGAGCTTTTCATGTTTTAGCTCCTTTATGGGACTAATCTTTGCAGCTTTCCTTTATTATTATTATGATTAGAATTCTAACTTTTCTGCATGTTCTTCAGAGATTGACCTTTATTTGCCGCTTTCTTTTATTATTAGTGAACGTGCTTGTTTTTAGATTACATGTGCACAAGGTCTCAGTCAATGTCTGGAGAGGATCAATCAATGTATACAACCTTGCAACTTTGATATCTAATGCTTTATTTGATCCCAATGCAAACAGTGTTTTTATCACTTGAGATATTCTCGTGTGGAATCCCAAGGTCAATCATGTTCTGGATCTGAGACCTGTATAGAAGTTTCATGTCTCTGTGAGACATCAGAAGATGACTTAAAAGGGCTAACTCATCGGATGAAGTTCTCGCCAACGGGGAAGATCAATATATAGTCTTACGTTTATATTCACAGAGATTATTTTCGAAACTTGAATTCTAAGTTTTTAAGTTGCTATCGATATTTATTGGAGAAACATCAAAAGATAGTTTGTTTATAATTCTTGTAGTTGTTCTTGCTCGATTTGCTTCCGAGAAACCAACCTTATTCTTCTCTAAATCAATAAATTGCGTTTAAGAAGCTAGGGAGAAATTTTTCCCTGATATAATTGCAAATATTGCGTTGCTTGTTCCTAGATTAATTACTATTTGATAGGAAAAATATTCAACGAGCGCTTGCCATTTAGCAGTCTAGTCAATATGAGTAGGAGAAGTGACAAATACTCTGGGGATATTGTCTTCATATCTTAGAATATTTTTCAAGTTAAACTCACTATAAAAAGCTCATGGCATTTGAGGTTAGAGATTATTCATTAAAATGATTTTACTTAAACGATTTGACCTTGTTGTTCGTGTAGATTAGATACCAAGCATGCAACTGAATCTGTCTCAGTCTTCGATGAGCATTCGAGTCATCCTTGTCAGATCATGCGTTTTGTGTACACAGACGCGAATCGAGTGGGGTTGATCTGATCAGCACCGATACATATATATATATATATATTCTTGAGAATTTTTTTATTTTTCTTCATACTCATCCAAAAATCTAATTTACATATATTTGATTAGACTAAGCAAATTAAATGACATGTGGCTTCTGTTCATATGGGGGGCTGGAAAAGGTAATGTATGTGATCTCACCTGCAAATAGAAAATTCCTATTAGCATATATTAATTACATCAGACTAAATAGATCAAGTATTAAAAATAAATAATGATGACTAACGCGCAATGTGGAAAAGATCAATATAGTTAACTTTACTTTTAAATACAAAATATTATTTTTATTATTAAAATAGCGATCTTTTAATTGTAAAAGAACAATCTTGTCTTCTTTACCAGTTAATCTAACCCACTTCTGGCCCACCCCGAATAATTTGGGCATAATTATATACGTGTCGTATAATTGTGGTATTTATCTCTCTAATCTAAATTTAGCGTGTGTATATATATATATATATATATATATATATATATATATATATATATATAT